CATATGTGTATGTGCCAATCTAATAATAGTTGCATTCAATATCTTTTGCAGTAAGTACTTGCAGCGAGAGCGTAAAATTGAGAGCAACAGAAAATCTTCAGGAAAAGTTTTTGAACGCAAAAAAAAACTTACAACTTAAGCGATTTTGACACTTTCTGACGGTTAAGTTTTGGCGCGCAAATTTCTTTTTAATTAGCAATAGTTCCCATCGTCCTAAGAATAAAAAAATATACAATAGATTTACAATTTTCATCCATATTTTCATTTCACTAATTATGTTTCATCAAACCATCCTCTTAAACAGTGTGTTTACATTTGAATTTGAAACATAACCTTACTTTTTGACTCTTGCGAATTCCTGCTAGTAAAATTTTTACTTGCAACAATTTGCAGCTCTCTCTGGTTGTTACGCTCTCGAATTCGCTCTCTCTTACAAATATTTTGGCTTATTGAATGCATTTCCAGTAAAAACTTGCAAGTACTAGTAACAATTCGTAACTATTCTGCAACTTTTTGCTACGAATCGTAGAAATAGTATGCTGCAATCCGAATCGTATTTTCGAACTTTCGAAATTCGTAACAATGGCATGCCTAAAAACGAACGAGTAAGCTTTTTTGCGTAATTTTGTACGAAAACAATTCTGTGTCGGAGGCGAAATAAAAGATGTAAATCGATGTGTGTTTACAAGAAGTATTGGTGGTGTTCATTTAAACAGATAAATTTGCCTTTCGCATATACGTATATTTTTATCCACTGCTTTATATATACGAGCAAAACAAAATCTTTGTTGCCCCTTATCGAGAAACTTGGGTCCGGTCTAGTTATTTGTACAATGATTTTCGGTTGTTGTGTCCAAACGCATAACCCGAATCCAAAAACTTTAACATACACGCGTAATCAAAGGATTCACATTTTGTTTAAGATAAATGTTTCAAACTCGGTTTGCACTATGCACTTTTTTGAAAATTTCGAAGTGGGTTCTGCGCAAAAATACTGTGGACGGCGTAACCGGAGTGATATGCACAGGAAATATCGTATACCTTTGAAATGAGGAAGCCCCTCTTCCCCCAACACGCGGTCGAAGGCAGAAGCGAGCGCAACAGGTGGTTGACCTAACAAAGTGGATGTTTTCAATGGCTTGGAAGAAGCTGTTATTGTATTAACTGAATTGAGAACCAGAGCTTCAGGCATAGGAGGAGTTCTGGCTTGTTGTTCAACAATTCAACCAGAAGCTGACATAGATGCGCCCATGGTTACTATGCCCGACAGCTCCGCATACCTTTGTGAATCCATTGCCATATCGCCCTCTTACTCTGCTGCTATAATTGCAAATGCATCAAAACCCATAATTTTCATCCAAATATGTAAAATTAACTAATTTTACAATAAACAAACACATGATGAGTGTTTTTTTATTTCTTTTCCATTTTGTTTTCCTTAATTCAGCTATCTTCGAAAAACTACTGATAGCTGGCAATGCTGCACATGTTTCCGATTTATCGATTTTCGTAGCGTAGCTACGAATTACGAATTACGAAAATTCGGGTTCTAGAATAAGGGGGGTACGATTCGAGCCTAGATTGTTACTACGGCAATGAAATGTATGAAGAAGAAGAATTCTGTATGCGCATGAGTCCTATTTTTCCCCACCCGAAAGAATTCATTGCATGGAAACATGCAAATTCATGCAAATTTGCGTTCGTGTAGAAATTGACAAGTTTCTCTATTTTAGAGAGAATGTTTTCTTACTCTCTGATAATTGAGTAATGGATAATTTTTGTTGGAGTTTTTGACACACGGGTAATTTAATCACCATTTCACATAAACAATTCTACGACCTTGAGAAGTGCGAGACTTAGGACGTCATGTGAATCAACTGTACTGGGATTTGAGCAGTTTTTTTTTTGCTAAAATACATCGAAATAGTTTTCTTTGCAAAATATGAACATAATTAAACCCCTATTATTATTGTTTATTGTTCTGAAATTCAGAATCTGAATAATTACATACATCGCACCTATAATAATAATGATAATTAATTCAAAATTTTGAGTTTGTGGGAAAACTCAGATTGATGGACTCATGCATTTGGTACACAAAAAAAGAATTGAGGAACAGATATTCTCGCCGTTTTTTGGAGTTGAATTATCTTATAGACTGAACATATTCTCCTTACCAAGCTTATTGTTTGTATGATAAAATCTGCAAAAACTTAAATTTTGAATTAATCATTTGTATTACTAAACGCGCGATGTGTACAAGTGTTTGTCTAGTACTACTGAAAAAAATTAAAAAAAAGGAAAAAATATTCAACAGACATATAGAATTGAGGAGTTCCATAACAAATCCCAATAATTTAACTTTTTATTATTTTCGGGTTTTTGATGAAATCTAATTCTGTATATTAAAACCTATGTATGTTATCGTCTTAATAAGTTGTAAGAATAAACACCTTATCACATTATTATCGATTTTTCAGTTTTCAGACTAAAACGCATATTTTTCAAGTTGAATCCACATAGAGGAAAACATACAAATGGCAATTGTAGATTTTTAAAAGTTAAGAGTTTTTCTTAGTTATTTGCCTTCAAGTGTATCTTCAAAATTGATTTGCTTAATCGTGATTACTCAATCATTTATTAAAACTTACACTAAAAATCATACCTCAGTTACACGCGAAAACTAAAAGCAATACTTCCAAAACCTGATATCACTTTGAAACTATTTACATAATCGGAGCGATTCCACGAAACCTCTCATGCTTCCACATAACTATTAAAAAGTTAAAAATTTATTATTATTTAATTTAAAATACCACAGCATTTTATTTGAAAGTGATAACATTCTCTCAATGATCTAAGAAACTTTTCAGTTGGAAATATTGCGCTTCGTTGTGGAACTTCTCAATTTATAGATACTAGTTATTCCTATATGTACATACAAGCAATAAAAAATAATACTTCGGTCTGCGACAAATATTAAAAAAACGTAGCTCTATAAACAAATGTGTCCCAGTGGCGTGGGACTGAAATGGATGTCGATAACGAACAACATTGTGATATTTTTATATATGTAAATATATACATACATATATATATATTTTTTTTCATTTATTATCGGACCATCGTGGCCGTCATAGCCGAGTGGTAACTGGTGCCTACTACCACACCTGTTCGATTCTTAGTCTGAGCAATATCCATAAAAAAATAGTTTTTTCTAATATCGGTCGTCGCTCAACAGGCAATGGCAACCCAAGACAGGACTTGTGCTATGAAAAAGCGAAAAAGTGTTGGCGTAAAACTGCAGGTTTCTTTATTTGTGTGACAAGATCAACACACCTCAAATTGGATGACATGCTCGGCCAAACAGGTGTGAGCACCAAAGCTGTGCCTTAAAAGAACTGTGTGCATACTTTGGATTTAATTATTATTTTTTCTTAATTTTGGCAAATCAGAAATTTGCAGTAAGTTCTGGTTGTTGACCACGGGAGCAATAGCAGATTGAATCAGTTTGATTTGATGAAATCAATATGAAAATAAACCAAAAGTCTCTGGAATATTGTAAGTATTCACAGCTCTCTGGCTATTAAGGTAACTGGTTATTGATACGTATTCTACAGTGCATTTTATTTTTGCAAACGGATTAAAAAATTCATATACAAATAACTGCAGAGCCACAGTAACCCTGAAGCTGTGAACCCCTATGCACGTCGTTTCTTTNAAAAATTCATATACAAATAACTGCAGAGCCACAGTAACCCTGAAGCTGTGTGGACCCCTATGCACGTCGTTTCTGTTTTTGAATAAAAAAACCAAAATTCTTCGTAATAAATCATTTTATATGAAAGTAAATTATGTTAAAGAAAAATAAATAAAAGCAAATTAAAACAAGCATATAAAAGCCTAAGAGGATTGCACTGGTTAATGGTGATTTATGCGTATAAAATATTTTCGACTATGAGTTGTTTTTTACAAAATTATCAAATATATGGATTTGAACATGAAGTATAATATAATTAGCAGCTAAAAATATGTAGAATTATTGCTTTAATTTACCGCAAAAAATTGTCTTTGATTGCAATAACTAAATTAGAATTATCCTGATATGAAAAAAACTCATATTTAGTTCAATATCCTCTTTCTCCACGGCAAGGTAATAAGTAACCGATTACTTAATTCAGTGGAAAAAAGAATTGTACAGCATTTAAATGGTTAATAAATTTTTGCATTTAAATTAAACTTAACATTTTAAATAAGTAATGTTAAACTTTAATTTTTATATATGTATGTATAAAATGGGGTTTGTTTAAGAGTATGCAAATTTATAAAATTTCAATTGAAATTTATATGTATTATGAATTGCATACCTAAATACCTAATTGCTTAACTTATGCTAACACATTTTATTTAAATAAAAAGTTTAAACCATAATAATATTTAACGATTTAAACAGATTTATCTTGATGGATGCGTATATAAATATGTATATATAAATGTGTGGACATTTAATGGACATCGGAAGCTATATACACATAACCACAATTATGTAGGCTTTTATGCCACTCTCAAAAATTCAACGACAAGGCTGATGTTGTAGAAGCCTACCTTTTGCTCGAGAATAATGGTGAATTTTAGTTGGATGACCTCTGTGATGATGATGATGACGCTGATTCGGCCTTGCTCGGCCCCTCTGCAGGTTTGGTGGTTTTTGACGTTGTTGGCGGTTATGCACTGCTGTTGCGTCTGCACTTGTAACTGTAGCTGGTGTAGTTGTGTTTTGTGGAAAATGTCGCGTATAATTATTTACAATTGATGTTGTTGCTATATCGAGCAAAGTAAAGTTAGACGGAGCAGCAACTAAAGATTGATGCTGTTGCTGTTGTAATAACTGTTGTTGTGGCTGGGGTTGTACGCGCATAACTTTTTTCGATGTCGTTGCCAAAGCGCTGCCTGTCGGTTCCGCTATAGCCATCCTACGCAAGTGTAAGCGGCCAACATTGCGACGCCGGTGATGTCACTTCGGTCCGCTAGCACTTGTCTTGGCCAACTCTGAACGAATTGAGTTAAGCTGTGCTTGTTGCAACTGCTGTTGTTGTTGTAATTGCTCATTAATCTGAATATTGCTAGAAGATTGCTGCAGAGGTTGTAAAGCCGATGTTTGTTGCGGTTGTGTTGCTTGCTGTTGTTGCATTTGCAATTGATGTTGTTGGTTTAATGCATGAATGTGTTGACAAAAAGCTTGTAAAACTTCAAAGTGTGTCATTAAATTCGCCGTTTGACTGTCATAGTGCAGGTGCCGCGTTATCGGGGCGCCCAGTCGTCGAAGCATATCCGTAAAGATCTTTTCTTCTTTTCGTATCCACGGCCGGCGATCGTCTTGTACCTGATATGGCGTCAGATGCACATGAATATTCATGCCTTCCGAAACGATGAAAAAATTACATTAAGAAAAATTTGCAATTATCTTTGTCCTGTTGGACCTACCCATTCGTGTAAGAGTTTCTAAAAGGCTTCGAGACGTTATCCATGTATTCTTTTGACCACCATGACCACCATCCAGCCAGTACATGTCTTTGATGCGTGAAAGCAATCGTATCATTGTACTATCATCGGGTGTAAGAGTTTTCAAGTAATGGAATTCGTATATGAACTGAAATAAAATGAAGTCTATATCAACAGAAGTGCTTTGGTCCTGAATAATTTGAGCAGAAGCATGTACTTTATTTATACATATATTTCAAAATTTCAAGAGCACACCATAAGTTAATATTACAAATATGTATATGTATGTATGAATGTATCGACCGATTTCTGCGTCAACCACGTACCTGCATTAAACACACTTTAAAAACATTAAAACAATTTGTTTACCTTCCTTCACTGGCACACAATGAATGAATTATATCGTTGGCTTAGTGTGCAAACGTACTTTTTATGAAAGTTGAGATTTTAATGCAGTAAGGTAGCACAACTCAAAATACATCATTACCAAAAAAAAAGTTATCGTAATGTTCCTCTTACTTGTTGTTATGCAGTGGTATGCAAATGTGCTAAGTCTGCCTGTGCACACGATAACTCGAGCAAAAATTGATATATCTCAATGAAGTTTGGTATGTGTTGCCCTTTATCCAAGGTAGGTTGGCATTGAAAACGGGCGAAATCGTACTGTAACTACGCTCACTTCCCATATAAAGGTATTTTCCAAAAATTAAAGAACTACAATATTTCAGTAAAGTATGTGAAGTAGAATTTTGTTAAAAAATATTACTATGAAATTTTTGGAAAATGGGCATGATCCCGCCCACTTATGATGAAATCCTGTAACTCAGTAGCCCATTCACCAATCCTTACCAAACTCGGTACGAGCCTTGCTTAGGGTCTAGCCATTATAAAAAAATGAGATGAACTTTTAAAATTCTTGCAGTTTCCAGGCAATTTAATTTTTAAATTTACTCACAATCTCACACACACATTTTCACTTTTAACCTCAAGCAACCACAATTTCTGTGTTCGAAAGGCTGGCTTTAGTATAATACGGCATTCGCAGCATACGATTGCGAATGAATCACTGGCGCCGAGCCGTTGAAGAAATAAACGTGCAAGAAATACATAGTTCCGATACTAGCAAGTCAATATTAAGTCTCATCAAAAAATTCCTTGTCGTTTATACTAAAGCCACTCCTCGACTTAAGCTACTATTCCATATGAACACAGACTTGTATTTTCAATTTTATATGATTTTGAAATGCTGACAAACTTCAAAAATAATCATGATCGACAAATAGAGAGAACGGTTCTACCATGCTATGTTTTTATCATGGGTCTAGCTAATAGGTGAGTCGGTTTGGATGTGTTAGTAAGAATAAAAATGTTACACAGACATGACTCTGAATGACTCAACTGTGTGTAGTCGAAAGGTGAGTCAACACGTACACAGTTGACTCGCGAGTCAGACGCACCGTCCATGTTGCCTATAATAGGCAAAATACACAGTGCGTCTGACTCGCGAGTGGAGTTGGATGTATTTGTGAAAATAAATATGTGCTAGTTACACCGACATG